CGGGGCCAGACAAAAAGGTCTCCACGGGCCGGATGAGAGGGCCTCGCGGGCCGCATCCGGCCCGCGGGCCGTAGTTTGGAGACCCCTGGTATAGAGCAAGATTGCCATGCACAGGGACACCTAGGATTACTATTTTTCAAAGTGCCTAAGGGACTCAAATATTATTGAAATTTGATGGAAAATGAGTACCTACTTTTCTGAGGAGCCTTTGAATCACTATTTATTGAGCACCTACAACCCCCAACTTAAACCTGTCCAACACATTATCAATAAACTACAGCCTATATTGGAACAGGATACCATACGCAAAGAGGCTCTGGGAGACAGACCCATAGTCTCCTATAGACAACCACCTAACCTCAAGATCATTCTTACCAACCACCACAGGACATACCACACTAATACCAACCCTGGTACCTTCCCTTGCAACAAACCCCGTTGCCAGCTTTGTCCACATATTCATTCTGCTGATACCATTATTGGACCTAACCAAGTGAGTTATAAGATCAAGAACACATATTCCTGCGCATCCAGAAATATAATCTATGCTATCATGTGCCGAAAGTGTCCGTCTGCTATGTACATTGGACAAACATCTCAGACACTTCGCCAAAGGATTAATGCCCACAAAACAGATATCAGACAAGATCACAAAGAGAAAACAGTTTCTTGCCATTTTAACCAGAAAGGACACTCTCTCAATGACTTGACCACCTGCATTCTGCTACAAAGACCTTTTACATCTGCACTTGAAAGGGAATCCTCTGAACTGTCATTCATGTTAAAATTCGACACTTTCCAACAAGGACTTAGTTCAAATGTTTGTTATCTCACCCATTACCAAGATAGTTTCCCCAATTATCACCTCTAATACCATTAACTCACAAACATCCCACTCTCCCTACCTCTAATATCATCAATTCCCCCCCCCCCGCATTCCCCTTCTGTTCTGCAATGTGATTTGTCCTTTTCATATTTGTTCATTTTTTTAATTGTATCCTTTGGTATATATGGTTGTGACTACTTTCTTCCACTATTTGATCTGAGGAAGTGGGTCTGGCCCACGAAAGCTCATCATCTAATAAACCATCTTGTTAGTCTTTAAAGTGCTACATTGTCCTGCATTTTGTTTATTGAGCACTTATTCTGACATGCCTAATTCTGAATGGATTAAGATATGCTATCTGAGATTTAGATCTGAGAAGCAAAACAGTTATAAATAGCCCATCTCTGTTTCCAATGCGTTTGATTCTTCATTATTTTGCAGAAAGAAAAATGCTACTATACCAGCTTTTTCACTCACTTGCACCATTGGTAGCATTTTGCATGACTTTGCACTGACTACACAAGTTGAAAAGCACTGAAGATTCAGGCCCTTTTAGCAAAGTCATGCTTACAAATGTGAAGAATGCACAGTTCCATAGAGCACCCAAAAATTTGGAGCACCACTGGTTCTTAGTATCGACCCACCTGCCTCTTCCTCTTCTTGCTCTGTGGCTCTGCTTCCTCAGGAAAGGATCTAATTAAAAGTGAAAAAAAAGCCTGCCAGACCTATTATCAGAACATTGAACCTGTGAAAGAGCCATTCAAGTGGTAATGAAGCCATTAACAGGCATTTGCCAATCCTAGGTATAAACTGTCACTTTGTGAATTTACTGTTAGTCTACAGAAAACCTCCCTTATACTGATGGACTCAAAGAGCTCAGATTATTTGGCATAACAAAAAAGAAGGTTAAAGGGTGATTTTTTTATAGTGTGTAAGTATCTCTCTACATGGGAAATAACTAATTATTAAGGAGCTCTTCATCCCATCAGAGAAAGGCAGAACACGATCCAATGGCTTGAAGCTGATGCTAGACAAATTCTGATTGTAAATAAGTTGTACATTTTTGACGGTGTGAATAATTGACCATCGGAACAATTCACCAAGGATCATGGTAAATTCTCCACCACTGATTTTTAAATCAAGATTCAATATTTCCCTAAAAGATATGGACTACGTCTACACTGGCCACAATTTCCGGAAAAGCCATGCAAATCAGGTAAGTCAGGATAGGGAAATCCACGGGGGATTTAAATATCCCCCGCGGATTTAAATAAACATGTCCGCCGCTTTTTTTCCGGCTTGGGGAAAAGCTGGAAAAAAAGCGTCTAGACTGGCGCGATCCTCCAGAATAAAGCCCTTTTCTGGAGGATCTCTTATTCCTACTTCAAAGTAGGAGAATTTACCATGATCCTTGATGAATTGTTCCGATGGTCAATTATTCACACCGTCAAAAATGTACAACTTATTTACAATCTGAATCAGGTAAGTCAGGATAGGGAAATCCACGGGGGATTTAAATATCCCCCGCGGATTTAAATAAACATGTCCACCGCTTTTTTTCCGGCTTGGGGAAAAGCTGGAAAAAAAGCGTCTAGACTGGCGCGATCCTCCAGAATAAAGCCCTTTTCTGGAGGATCTCTTATTCCTACTTCAAAGTAGGACTTATCCCTGACTTATCCCTATCCTGGCTTACCTGATTTGCATGGCTTTTCCGGAAATTGTGGCCAGTGTAGCCGTAGCCATGCTGTTCTAGGGCCTAGGATATGCTAACGGTCAGATTAGGTGATTCCTTCTGGCCTCTCTGCATTTGTGAAGGTGAGATTTTAAGGAGCTCAAACACCAAGATGGAACTCTCTAAGCTTTCACTGTTTCTCAGAGCCTGAAGACTCTATTCCTCTGCTTAAGAGTTATGGCTCTACTGTTGCTTTTAAGACACAGCTTAATGTAGGAGAAGTTTGGAGAAGCACTACTCCAGTTATAGTCCTTTAGGGCATTTGACCTGGGATATTCCCAGTGCCTCTGAGAATACCGTCTCTGTCTGGTCAGAAGGGAAGGACATGAAACTATGGCTTCCTCCTGCCCTGTTTAGGGAGTCCAGTGCCACTAACAGACACCCTTAGTCCTTGTGTGCTTAGAGGCCAGGATCAGGAACATGAATGGAATTGGAGAAGATATGCAAAGGAAAGAGGACTTCTTGTAACCTCTCCCAGGTTTGGGTACGTGCCCAAGTCCAGCAATGGTTTTATTTTAGGGGACTAAGGCTAAAATCCTTACTCGGTTCAGTAACTGGCTACAGCCTTGTTCTGTGTTCTCAATGCTGTCGTGTACATGAATCAGATGCTGTCTAGCTCCCTAAGCTAGGAAAACACCACTTCTGAATCAGCTTTGCTATTTTTGCCAAGATGCTAGAAGAGCTATATGGGGCAGAGCACAAACTTTACAAATTTGCTTTCCTTTCAGACCTTTGTAATGGTCACGGAATCAATCGAATGAGCAAACTTAATCTCTGAGCAATCTCTTTGCATTAGCTACAGTAACTGACACTACTGAATGCAGCACTGTTAGCTGGGTGGTGGTGTACTTTTGTCCCCATTATCATCAGGAAGGCACATCTGTTAGTAGCACTGACAAACTTGATTTGTGGAACAATCAGAACCTGTTTTTCTGTCATTAGCCCCATGTTTATGATCCAGTATTCATCTCTCTGTCAAGATCACAGATGTTGCTGTTTATTGAATAGCAATTTGTTTCCCATCAGTTTCCTTTTCCTATTGTACTAAGAAAGAGAAGGAACCAGAAAATAGTGTTTCTTATTAAGTGTTTATAATAGACCATCTCTGACTATCTTGTTGTCCTCGCAGCATTTATCTTGGGCTCCATTGAATGAGTTAATTTACAGCCCAAAGGCAGAGTTAAAAGAGTTAGCAATATTTTGCTAGCTTGCTAAATATTATTAAACATATATTTATTGGGAAACTGTGTTAATTTTAAAGTTCTTTCTTCTGTGTTCATGTTTTTACTTAGGGAACGGGCACAGAACACAACACAGTCTGAGACACTTCAGCTTACTGTGGGAAATTTGAAACCAGAGGAGATCTATACGTTCCGAGTGGTGGCGTACAATGAATGGGGACCAGGAGAGAGCTCGCAATCCATCAAGGTTGCCACGCAGCCTGAATGTAAGTATGCAGTATAATGGTGTTTCCAATTTAGATAAGGTTAGTAATGATCTACTTCAGCAGAAGCTCTGCCTTTATCTTGATACATCACTTTAAGGTTTACAAATAATTCTTCATTGTAGATATTATTTGCTGAGTCCATATAGAATGGCCAAAATAATCTTCCCTCTATTTACAAAGTAATATAATATATGTCCTTATAGTGTATTTTCAGATTATTTGATTTGATCAGTAAATTGTTTATTACCGTTGAACAGTACATTATGTAGTTAGCTGTGTATTGTGTTACACACACACATATAACATTTCTCATACTTTATATCCTGGGCCAAATACTAATACCATTGACGGGCATGGAAAAATTTCCAGGTGCTCTAAATCCAAGGGGAGGAGTGGGGCACAAACCATGGCCCACATGTGGCCCAACAGAGCCTTCACTTTGTCTCTCAGGCTCCTAACAGAGAGTTGGTTCAGGACAGCCTTGCTGGAAGGATCCAGTCCAATTCCTGGGCAGTACAGTGAGCACAAGTGGCTAGCCCCTAGTCCCTCCTTATCTGTCCCCCTTTCCCTGTAGCCTTAGCTCTCACAGCACCTAGGCATGGAGGACTCTGTACCACCAGCCCTGATGCACTGTGTGGTCAGGGAGTTGGAAATGGGGTATTGGACAGAAGGTGGGAGGTCCTGGGTGTTGGTCAGGGGTCCTGAGCAAAGCGGGAGAATTGGACAGAGGGTGGAGGAGAAGGGAACAGGGAGGTTGGATAAGGGGTGGAGGCCAGGCCATTCCTGGCTCTTTGGAGAGGCACAGTCTTCCCCAGTCTTCCCTAACTGGCTCTCCATACAATTTCCCTCCAAAAAGTTTGCCCACCTCTGCTCTAGAAGCTTAATATGTTCATGGTTCATTGAAAATATTGTAATTAGCATGTACTTGAAAATAATTTTATTAATCTTCAGTATATTTTGGAGCTTCTTTGCAGGCCCTTTGCACATTCTGTATTCTCCAGGTATAATTATTTGCACACATTTCATCATCAGAAGGAAGATAAACATGTTTTAATTCTGATTATTATACAACATATCAGTGTTCTCATTTGTCCCACTTAGTCAGTGTCCCAGACAAAGGAACTCAGGCTGCTCCAATTTTTGAATTCAAATAGCAGTATTCATTATTCAGTCAATTTTCTTGTCAGCAGGTCAGTTTTGTTTAGTTTATAACACAGTTTGCATCAATAAAAAGGGTTAAATGGGTTTTCCTGATATGTGGTAGCAAATGATGTGTTGCTACTCTAAGGGTATGTCTACACTGCAACACTATTTCAAAATACCCAGCACGATTCCAAAATAACTTAGTTCGTGTCTACACAGCAGGCAGTTATTTCGACATAGTGTCAAAATGCTGTCAAGCTGGAGGACTTCTTACTCTGACTCCTGTAGACCCCATTGTAAAAGGAATAAGGGTAGTCGAAGGAAGAGTGCTCTATTTTGAAATAAGTGCTGTGTACATGCTCCCTATTTCAAAATAAGCTATTTAGAAATAAGATATGCAATTGACAAAGCTCAATTTGTGTAACTTATTTCCAGTTAAGCGCTGCAGTGTGGAAGGAGTGGAGGAGAAGGGAATGCCTCTCTATGGTGGGGAAAAATAGACTGAGGTCTTTATGACACGTCATTTGAGATGTCAAGTCTCTTGAGAAGGCTTAGCTGGGTTTTATACTGTTTCATTTTAATTCCTTTTGTGAATAAAATCAAATTTATGAAAGGGCTACCTTCAGGCCAGTTACAACACAGGTGGAATATCTTTGGAGTAGACTGGCGAAACCACATCTACACACTGAATGTGTTAATCAGAAGAGAAACCAAGACACTCTCATTTGTGATCATTACAAACAAACCCACTTCACCAGCACAGAAGTTAGGGTTCTAGGGCAGAACAAATGTCAATTTCAGAAATTACATTTGGCCTCCCTAAAATTCTCCTGTAGTGCAGATTTATTCGGGCAAAGTACTCTGCATCTCCTGCCATGAAACCTAGACGGAACTCAGATGGAAGGGGCAGATCTAGGGGCAGCCAGTCTGCTGCACTGCAACAGTGGCAGTCGGGTACCCCAGGCCCTTTTAAATGAATGAGCCCTGGGGCAGTTGCCCCTTCTGGCCCCCATTCATCATTGGGCCTACATTAAACTATTTTATAGTGTTCTTTTGCCTTATTATTCAACTGATGTGGTCAACCAAAGGTGGCTACATTTTAGCCTTGCATAAGGAGAAAAATCACTTATGTCTACACAGCAAAGTTATTTCGAAATAACAGCCCTTATTTCAAAATAACTTTCCTAGCATCTACACAACCAAACCACTATTTCAAAATAAATTCGAAATAGCTGAGGGCTTATTTCAAATTTGGAAACCTCATTCTACGAGGAATAACACCAAATTCGAAATATCTATTTCAAAATAAGTGCTGTGTAGACACTTATTTTGAAATAGGGGCCCTCCAGCCTTCCCAGGGTGTCCTGGTGGCCACTCCAGCCTCAACCAAGAACACTCCTCTCCTTCCCCCCTCCCCAGAGCCCTTAAAGGGGTAGACTCTGGCCACAGTGCCCGTGCCAGCGCCAAGTCTGCCAGCCCAGAGCCAGCAGTCACTGCCTCTGACCCAGTAGCCCCAAAACATGAACCAGCAAACTTGAGGGCAGCCAACCCTCCACCACTCCCCAGGAGCAGTTTGTCAGCTCCCAGGAGCCTTCCAGGGCCCAGAGAAGGTGGGCGCCTTCCAGCTCCAGGGTGGAGATCAGGGACCTTATTCAGGTGTGGGGGGGATGCCCCCAACATCCATGATCTCCACACTAGACAGAGGAATGTGGCCATGTATGGCAGAATAGCTGCCAGCCTGGCCACCAAAGGCCACATGCGAACCCAGGAGAAGGTTTGCATTAAAAGCAAGTTGGCCCGGCAAGACCCCTAACCCTGAGCCCTGAGCTTCCCCTCTCCCTTCTTCCCCTTGCTTTCCCCTTCTAGCTCCCCAGTGGGGCAGACCAGGGAGACTGTTAGTGCTCCTCAGGGTGGAAGCTCTCCCAAAGGGCCTCCTGGATACTGACAGCCCCCCAATGGACCTTCCGGATGGCAGCCTGCAGAAAGTGCAGCCAGGCTCGCAGCAACGCGTCCAAGAGAAGCACCAGAGTGCCGAGGGGCAGCTCCAGCTCCATGTTGCAGAGTGCTGTGGTGTCCCAAGTGAGGGCAATCAGAGCACGCAGAGACAAAATGCTTTGCTGTCCCTCATCGAGGTAGGCAAGTAAGCAAGCAGGGAAACCTGAGATCTGGCTGTCCAGGGGAGCGGGGAATCCCTTTAAGCACAGGTCTCAGATAGCCTCAGGCAGCAGCCACACAAAGTAAATCCTGACCTGATGTCCTGCCGGACCTGATTCCGGCCGGCCTTAAATGCGATTCAGCGTCCACTCAGTGTGGATGTGCTATTTTGAAATAGTAAAACTCTATTTCAAAATGCATTTTGTGTGTAGACGCATTATTTCGAAATAAGCTATTTTGAATTAACTATTTTGAAATAGCTTATTTCGAAATAACACTCAGTGTAGACATACCCTGTACGAATATGAAGAGCCATTTGAGATCCTTTAGTGCAAGGTGCTATGTAAATGTTAGCTGTTATCATGCTATTTACTCATTCACATAACACAAGAAGTAGGAAAAAACCAACAAATGGTCTGGTAGCACTTTATAAACTAACAAAACATGTAGATGGTATCATGAGCTTTCTACATATTTTGTTGGTCTATAAAGTGCTACCAGACCATTGGTGGTGTTTTTTTTTCTGTAACAGACTAACTCAGCTGCCCCCAAAACTACAAGAAGTAGGGGTCACTCAATGAAAGTAATAGGTATTAGGTTTAAAACAAACAACAGGAAGTACTTCTTCACTCAATGTGCTATCAATCTATGTAACTCTTTGCCAGGAGATGTTGGAAGACCAAAATTCAACAGGTATAAAAAATATCTAGGTAAGTTCATGAAGGTTAGGTCCATCAATGGCTATTAGCCAAGATAGGCATGGATGCAACAACATTCTCCATGTCCATAGCCTCTGTTTTCCAGCAGCCACTTACCCTTCCTTTTCCATTATAAATTCTGCATTCCCCTTTTTTCTCCCACTCCAGTTCATCTGAGGAAGTGGGTTTTGCCCACAAAAGCTCCTGATACTCTATATATTTGTTAGTCTCTAAGGTGCCACATGACTACTCATTTTTAAAGTTACAGACTAACCTGGCTACCCTTCTGAGACAGATGATAGCCTGTTAAACTCTCTATTAAGCACATGGCATTGGCTACTGTTAGAAGACAGGATACTGAACTAAATAGCTTGACCATTAGTATGACCATTCTTATGTTGGTTTTAAAATATGGGTGTGTGTGTGATATTACACACACACACATTTTAAAATCAATGCAAGAATGAATACACACACACACACACACAGAGAAATTTAAATCATTACATTAATGTTGCTATCAAGAAAACACTTTGATAAACATACACCAATCCTCCCCAGTGTCGCTTTTAGTGTTTGTGAAGCTCAGATAACATAGGGACTTGTACAGTATTCAGTAACTTGAAGGTTGCTCCAAAGAATCAAAATTTGATGGTAGAGAATTTTTTCCCTTTTTCAAAATGATCTTATCATTTTGAAACAACTATCTTCTGCGCTGGAATTCAGTCAGTCTCTATGTTGCTGTCTCCTGGAACATGATGTAGTTATTGTACAATAAATTATACAACTGCACTACAAATTGAATTTCAAGATATCTGTTATTTGAAAATATCAGAAGTGTTATGCAATCTAGCTTTGTTACCAAATAAAAAACAATGAAAAAGGACATCTGAAATGTATGTCTGTCAATGACTGTTTCTAAAAGTGCATACATTTTCTCAGTAATCAGTTTAAGAGATCAACAAGCACAAGTTCCAGCTTTTGAAATAATCGTCCAAAATATAA